TTGAATTGAATTTTATACTCATGGTTTGAAATTCCCACCAAGTCAATAGGTTAGTCACTGAAATACATCCTAGTAGGTTACATTTTTGGCACATGTGTTCAAGTTGTCTTTAAACAGTCCATGGAAAACATATGCTGATCTCAATTGAAAATATGCTTATGGAAGCAAGTGAGAAATACAAATGTGGTGAGAAAAATTCATAGAAGTTCTGTAGCTGTGAATGGAGGCTTCGTTTCCAACCCATTCTTCCAGGTACAGGTGATACCAAAAATATACAAAAATGGATACAAATAAGAATATTACATCAATATAATAGCCTTTAATTGATAGAGATAGCTGAAGAGTGACAGGGAAGGTGGAGAACGAGACACACGAAACTAATGGACTGGAGAGGACTTCAAATGACACCTAGCTTGGATTCATTTTATATTCATGGATTTAAGGACTTAAGGTTCTTTAATTACAATTTAGAACACATGGTTGTTCACACACACACAGGGCTCCGCAGTCAAGTTAGCAACAATAATTGCAACAGCAAAAATTACATTTGCACACAAATGCACACATACCTCACCAAAAAACAGTGTTGAATTGTCAAGACCACAGGCTGGATTTACATTGTGAGGAAAACGGAATGAGGGAGGAGAGATGAGTGGGTGGGACGGGGAAAGATAGGCAGAACAATCCGTAGAAAATCTTGCAGCAGACGTCTCTTCCTCCAGCACGGATTCCTGAGAACCCGACCATTGTGGAAAACCTCTGACCAGTCTTCCAATTGGATTCCTCTCGGGCAGACTGCTGAAACTAGGCCCTCAACAACAGAACAGACAGGTTTAGAAATAGAATTTAACAGAAAGACTGATGAGAAATGCCTCAACCTATTTACAGTGTCTATCTATATTTGATCATTTGTTGTCTGTATATGGATAATCTATTTGATTTTATTTTACATTTCTGCTTTAGCGTGTATTGTATGTAGTTGTTTTTTTCTTCCTAATGCAGTAGCTTTTGACAATAAATCAATTTTAACTCAAAGTTTGTGTGAACAAATAGAAAGCTCTGATAAACCCACAGTACACAACCAGGCACACAGTTAATGCCTACTAGGTGAACAAATTCAAGCATTTAGCAGCTTAAGAGGAAATAATTCTTTATCAGTGAGTAAAAACGCTGATGTGTTTAGCATGGTAGAATAAGCCTCTTTTTTCATCCTGTTTCTTCCAGCTTCAGTCTGGACTAGTAATGATTTGAATCACTTATTAATTACATGCATTTCAGTCAAGTGCTGTATGACCTACTGTCTGTCACAAGAATTTGATTTCCCATGTGTCTATTTATCCAAAAAACAGTCAGTGAATGAGTAACCTATCAGTCCATGCACACAAACCAGAACTAAAAAGCAGCAGTGGTTATTTTTTCCGTTGGGACCCACCAAGTCAACCAAACTATGAGTATGAAAGAAACTAAGATCCTGTACACAAAAAAAGAAGAACAGAATGTATTGTATTTATAATAGAGAATAAAGAAGCACAGATTGTTGACTTCACGGTACTTGCCTCTGGCCTAGGTAATCTTGCATGGAAGCTGTACTTGCAAGATCATGCGAGAATCCATCTTGTGTCCAACCACAGTGGTTCAGACCAATAAGCGTTTTATGAGAAGTGACCCTTTGCTCAACAACAATGGCAGCTGCTAAAAAGGTTAGTGCAGATGCTGCTGGCATTGGTTAGAACTTAAGGCTTTTCTTCATTGAAAAGATATATTCACTCTTCTCCTGACTGGCTTCGATAGGTGTTTGACTATATTGTATGGTTGGTTGATCTGATTGGTTGTTCACCTGTGATAGACAGTGATAGACAGATGGTTCTCCATGGTTAAAGTAATCTGTAATTTTTTTTTAGAGTTTTTAGAGTATTCTATTTGCAGCTCTAACCCTACGAAGGCACTTGCTTTGCTCTTTGTATCTCATCTCTTACGAGATAATGATGACCAATTAACTCAGCTTTCTCCTGGAGTGCAGGTCCTTGATAGCCCATTTGCAGCTAAAAAGCTGCTTCATTTTTAACATCTTATTTTCTGGCAGTACTGTGGCATTCTGCATCATGTTGTCAAGCTGGGATCCAAACTACACATAGAGAGCACATTCCACATGAGGAGTGTTTCAGCGAGATACTGTACATCATCTATGAGACAACCCAGGTTGAACAAAGCACGGCAGGCGTGCCAGACAAAGAAGTTTTAGCAAATATAAATTTTCTTGATGTAGAGATCACCCAGAGAGAGAAAGCACTGGTGTCTAAGGTGTGTTGAATCTAAAAATCTAAGGACAGAGACATCCTTGCTCTCCCAACGAGATTACAGTTTGTGTATTTATGTTGGTGATCTATTTCACATAGGCCCTGAGCCTGAGAAAAGCAGTGTCATCATGAGAGCAAGAACATGAGTTCATATTTCTGTCTCTACCATTCTGTTCTGTTTTCTGTGAACTCTGATCAAAATGGACAAAACCAGAACCTCCACTGCCAACCTGGAACTTCTGCTGCTGATACAGTAACTTCTGTTACTAGTAGAGTTACCTGCACAGCTTACCAGTACCTGAGTGAGTTTGTGACACTGTTTAAGGTTGTAATGCTTCCATGAAAAAGTAAGCTAAGTAAGTGGGAGATGGTGAAAGTCAGAGAGTACAAGCCAACCCAGTCTCACTCCCAACTCTACTGTAGCTTGGTCAGTGCCCCTATGCTTCAAAAGGTATCTAGTGTAATTTCTTGAAGCGCAGGCCTCCGTGGACCTATTAACAACAATAAATATGTAACATATACAACTTCCAGACAAGTAAGAAATAGTAAATATGCAACGTCCAGTTGACCACTTGCTAAATATCATTAGGAGTGCTAGAAGGAGCCAGAGGAACCTAATTTTTCACCAATTATCTGTCTCAGGTACTACTGTCATTACCAACGGCAGCTTTAATGGATATTTATGGTGTAAAACAACTAGCTATCAGTCAAATAGATTTAGTTTTTCTTTCTCTCATTTTGTTCTGGAGTGAACATACTTTGAGTTCTGGTAAATGGTAAATGGACCTGTACTTGTATAGCGCCTTTCTAGTCTTCCGACCACCCAAAGCGCTGTTACACTACATGCCACATTCACCCTTTCACACAGTGATGGCAAAGTCCATCGAACAGAAACTAACTCATTCATACACACATGCACAGCATCGGGAGCAATTTGGGGTTCAGTATCTTGCTCAAGGATACTTTGTGAGCAAGGATACTTTGTGAGCAAGGATACTTCGAACTGTGGCAGGAGGAGCCGAGGATCGAACCAACAACCTTCTGATTAGTGGACGACCCGCTCTGCCTCTGCACCACAGCCGCCATTCTAGCACCACAGTTTCCGTCATGCTTCGGGTGATAGACTAAACAGGAGGCTGTGGGCTACTTGTGAGCCCTGTTTCATTAGTTTTATTTTTGGCCCTATATTTCTTTACATCATGTCGAAATTGCAGCATGAAACACCTTCTGTTGCACTTGATGAACAACAATGAACTAGATTATTGTTGATATTGAAGAAAATGTCTTTGTAAGATTAAGGACATTATGAGTTAGAGGAAAACTGGGATAAACAGCAGCTTAAGTACAACATCAATGGCAGCACATGTTAACTACCCTCTTGGTTTTTATATATATTTATATATTTATATATGTGACATCTCCAATATTCGAGTTTTCCTTTTCTATACTCTAGCGGAATAAAACGTTCTCATTGTCATATTATCTGATGTTTTGGTTGGTGAAACGAGTGACAGAGTCTGTGGATTGGTTCTAACCATGTGGGAGATCCAGTCAGTCTGTGTGGACACGTCAGTCAACAGCAATTAACCCGTTCACAACACAGCTGTGGTTTGGTGTGCATCCACCTCCCTCCAGACCTCTGACCCATTACCCTTGACCCTGATCTTGACCTGCCACCCCTGCTGCGCCTCTTTCTTCCCTACGTGACAGTGGAGGATAACCTGTTTCCTGCTGACTCAGCAGGCCAATAGTCCCCCATCCTGTGGGCTTGAGGTAGGCTGCATGGATACACACTTAAGTACACACACATAGGCACACACATGTCAGCACAGAAACACCTGCAGACATGAGTCCCTTCACCTTGAGCTTTAGAATCTGCCCATGTCCCAACAGAAACAGCCATAGAGAGTTAATGCAGGACATGTGAGATGGGATAACAGGGACTTGTCAGACAGTTAAAGTAACAATGGTGTTTCAGCAAAATAGAATCCTGGTCAGGTAGAGTCAGAAATTAGCCTAATGAAAAGATGCTACTGGTTGCGTTATAGGCTGGTTCCACTGAGCTGTTGTAAAGCTCAGTGTGGTTGGCTTTGGCCATCACCAGTTTTGTAGTCCACCATCTACTGGCTAGGTGGAGCTGAGATGGGCTGAATTAAGCCTGGCTACTGAGAACTATCGATCTGTCACCAGTCATGGCTGATCAAAGCTGAAAACCACAGAGATACACCAGGTTTATCTTTAATCATTGTGTTTTTGTTACCTTAGAATGAGCCATTTTTATCTACATGGGAAGCAGGTCCTCTTCTGCGGAGTGTTGAACCGGCATGTTTCTACAGTTGCCCAGAACAAACCAACCAAACACTGGATATAGATAGGGACTTTAGTGTTTTTTGCAAGTTTTGCAGCCACCATTGTTTCTCCTACACTCTTGGAAAGCTGAGCTGTATTCCAATGGTTGCAATCTGCAACTTGACCGCCAGATGCAAACCTGAAATCTAACTGTATAACCATTTGATATAAATGTAATAAAGTTAATTTCTTGACATGTCTCTACTGAACCAATAAAATGTAACACTACAAAATACAATACCTAAATGCAATAAACTAGAACCACCTTATGAAACCCCATTTCAAGAAATACAACTATAATTGGCTTTGAAACACACTCTGTGTTGGCATGTGTCATTCCACATTATTTAGTGT